CCTCCCTCCCTCCCTCCCTCCCTTCTTCCTTCCCTCCCTCCTTCCCTCCCTCTCTGTTTCTCTGTTTCTTGGTTTGCTGTGTTGGATATTGGGCAAGAGTGCTAGACAGAGACAACACAGAGCCCCTGGCAGCTTGTATGATATGGCCTATTGGCTTTGCTGAGTTACTGGACATATTAACAACAGAGCAGGAATGTTATGGAAGCTCGGGCAGTACAAAGAGGGCGAGCCTGGCAATCAGATCTGGATTTAAAGCCATCTTGGCCATTTACTTCATGAGCATAGGCAAGTGACTAGACCCTCCTGAGCTTCAGTTCTTTCATGGGTAAACTGGAGAGTGCCTGGGTGTGTTTTGTGAGTCTGGCACAAAGCAGGTGCTCAATAATAGCTGAACTTTGTGAATGTTTTCAAGCACCCGCGCGCTGTGTATCTTATTTAGTCTTCGCGATAATCGGTAATCGTGCGAGGTAGACACTGTTATGATCCTCCTGTGACAGATGACGAAACAGGCACAGAGAAATTAACCAAATGACTGAAATTAAATAACTTGAAGTCACACGACTAGAATAAGACGAGCTGAGATTTGAACCTTTTGTCTGACTGCGGGTACTTAGTTGTTGAATTCTACTGCCCCCAACGTTCAAGAAGCGGTACTGCTATATTAACAATAATTGATCAAAGAATCTCAATCAAGTGCAGGCAAAAAGATGAGGAATTGGGTGGATGGCCTGTGTGTAAGGAGCCAGGGATGGTGGACAGGTGACTCCTTTTGGAGTTAAGGAGAGCTTCCTGCAGGCGGGGGCAGTCTTGTGAGAGTGAAGAAAGGAAGGCGGCTCTGGGACCAGGACCAGGGTGTGTCTCAGGGGAGGATGGGGTCTGGAGGGAAGAGGTCAGGGAGTGGGGGTTGTGAGGTGGTGGTGGGAGGAAGCTAGAGCCTTGGCGAACCTGGGTGGTAGAGAATGCAAGAATGGGGATCTTGAACTCGAACTTGACTGATGCCAAGATGGGGTATGCTCTGGCATTCCAAGGCTAAGGGGTTCAGGTGGAAGATGGAACTTTGGCGGTTGTAATGGCATCGGTCTCCAAGATGGAGGAACAAATGACAAGGGAGGGGCCGCATCAGGGGCAGGGTTTGTGAGAATGACTATACAGCTGGTCACGGGGAAGGGGACCAGCTGGGCAACCTGCTGCACACACAACAGAAACAGGTGGGACTAGTTTTTAGCTAGAAGCAATCCACATGACTGGACTTCCCAGAGTTTTTCTTAAGACCATTGGCTCTGCAGCCCTGCTGCACTTTGCTGCTGGGGGCAGGGATCCAGACACAGAGGGGAGAGTGCCTTTCCTTCCTTCTGCAGACTTTTATGGAGTGCCCATCTGTGTGTCACACACTGTTCTGGGTCCAGGGACACCAAGATGACTAAAAATCAGCCCTGGAGCCTCCTGAGAGACACAGGCACATAAACAATAACAACGCCACATCATAGGTGCTGTCATAATAATAACAATCATAACAACGATAACAATAACAGCAGCTAAACTTTGTCAAGCGCTGACTACGTCCCAGGCAGCTGTGAGCTTTACATGTTAGTAAGCCACTTACTCCTCACAGCAGCCCGAGGAGTTAGGTTCTATTATTGCCCGCCCCCCCCCCTTTTAACAGATGAGAAAACTGAGGTCTGGAAGGTTAACCACCTTGCCTGAGATCAGACCACTTGGCCACTATGCCGTTCTGCCTCCCGGTCATGTACATGCAGAAGCGGTAGGGACGGGCCGCTGCCGCGGAGGTATGCCTTATAAGCCGGGAAGTGTAGGCTATACAAGGGGTGTAGAAGGGTGAACGAGTTTCCCGAACGGAATTAAAAACGAATGTAAGAGGCCTGGAGGGGTGAGAGAAGGTGGAGTTGCTGGGAAAAGTAAGAAGTCAGGGATCACTGAAGTGGAGGAAGCATGGAATCAGGAGCTGGTGGGAGAGGAGGCCAGGACCTAGGTTGGCCCCAGATGGCAAAGGGCTTGGAAGCTGTGCCCAGGAGCCTGCGCGTGATCCCGAAAGCAACAGGGAGCCAGCGGAGGGGTGATGAGGACAGCTTGCTCATGCTGCGTGGGGTGGGGGTGGGGGGGGGTGGCTAGACTGGGCTTGGAGGAGGAGATCCTGGCACGGGGGGAGGGTCTGAATGGAGGAGGCAGGATCTGGGTGCCACACTCTCCTGGGATGCAGGGGTTGCCCCAGGAGTCAGTGTGCTCAGAAGGTTGGGGGGACACATTCTCTACTTAGACACATTCTCTTTCCTTTAAGCAAGAAGAAAATAAACCTACCTCATAGGGGGCTGTAGGGTTGGAAAGAGGAGTGGGAGAATTCACTTCTGTCCTTGCAGGAGACAGGGCTCAGCCGGAGGTGAGCAAATTTTTGTGATCTCTGAGAGATGGGTCAGTTAGAACAGTCGATAACAGGGGGCCTGGGGTGCCCAGATGCGCCCTGGAGAAAATGGGGAGGGCTGGGCACCGGTGATGTTTTGGAAGTAAGACCAGAAGCCACATCCTTACCGCACCTCTGTTGATCCCCATTTCCTTTCTGTGAGTTGGTAATCACGAGACCCAGACCTGGTCCCAAGTGGGGCAACCAGGAGCACTGGGCTTCCTTGTATGGAGGTTCCTTTAAATAGGCCCATTCTCCTCTGGCCAGCCTGCCCCGAGCTGGGGGCTGGCAGTTTGGGGCGGGGTCTGCCATGGAGGCGGCAGGAGGCCTGGTCCCTGGCTTTGTCACACCCTCACCCAGCCCCAACCCCTCACCCCTGTCTGGAACCTTGGGTTCAAATTGAGCTTTGCCACTTACTAGCTATATACTTGGGCTATTCACGTAACTTCTCTCTGCTCAATTGCATATTCTGGAAAGTGGGGTGGTATTAGGGTTATTGTACGTATCTAATGAGGCCTGCGTGCATCTAATGAGGAATGCATAAAACAGCATCTGGCCTGCGGTAAATAAGCACTTTGTTATTGTGAAATCCTTTCTGTGGCCCTCGTTGTGGACTCGGCTACTTTCCGGAAGCAGCAGAATTTATCAGGATTTTGCTCACAGCTCTGACCTTGTTGCACGACGGCTCCCTCGTCTTTAATGGGAGCCTGGATCCGTGAAAGGCCTAAAGCCCCGGTGGGGACTCAGGCTGAGGTGGGCGCCTTGGAGTCAGGAACCACCTTCTGGCCTGGGCTTGTCCCTGGCTTTCACTGATTTGGGGATCCCATCCCTCGCTCTGCCGTTGGGACTTGCTAGATTTCTCTGACCACTAGAGGGCACGCGTGTTCCTCCCGGCGCCTGCTGCAGGGGTGCGGGAGAGGGACCCTGCATTGCACCTCTGCTCCCCTCCTGCCAGCCAGAAAAGGCCTCCCCACAGCTCTGTCCTTCCATGCGGCAGGGTGCTGGCTCCTTCCCCATGGAGGGAGCTTCCCTGTGGCGTTCAAGTTCTAATCTGAGTGATGTGGGCTGGGGTTGGGAAAGGGGCCAGGGATAGGTCAGCCCGATTCATAGCACCTGGTTTCCGGGGTCACCTGGAGGCTTTTTGGGGGTAGGGGGCCCTGGGAAGGTAGCAGAACTTGGAAGGGGCTAGAGAAGCAGGGCCGTCCTCGGATAAGAGGTAAGCTCAGGACAAGGCCCTGCCAGGTTCCTTCCCTGCAGATCTCTCTGCCTCTGCAGAGTGGGGGCGGCAATGGCATTTTCTGCACACCTCCTCCTTGCCCGGTGCTGTGCTAGGTGCTTTCATAATGGTGATGAAAGCGGGGATGGGGGAACTGGGCTTTGTTCTTCTCAGCCGGCCCACCCGGCGTCCCCAGCTCGTATTCCCCTGGTGAGTATTCAGCCCACACCCCGAAGCCTTGGCCTTGCAGGGGGGTCCGCACGCCTAACCCCTCCACCGAAGGCTCAGTCGTGACCTCTACGACCAGCATTTTATTGCATTTCCTGCTCGTCAGTGTCCTGCCCACGAGCCTCGGCCACTGCATCCTAAGGGATGGGCTGAACAGGAGGCTTCCAGGCTGCGGTGCGGCTGCTTGTGTGGTGGGGCCTGGCAGGTCTGTGCTATACAGCAGCGTGAAAAACAAGGGCCCTGCAGGGCCTCCGCTGCCGGGCCTGGGCTGTGTGCCAGACCTGGGGGAACTCCAAGGGGCTGCCCTCTGCCGGGAGGAGACTGTCCTGGAAGGCCTTCCTGTTTAGGGGGCAGAATTTGAGAATGTAGGATGACAGACTGTCCATCAATGCATTTACATGCAATTTACATTGCATAATTTGAAAAATTATTGTGGCAACCCCAGGAGGTGGGTGTGGTCAGCCGTGTTTTGCAGAGCCGGGGACCGAGGCTTGGAAGGTGAAGGGGCTTGTCCACATTCTGCGAGCCGACTGCAGGCAGCATGGGACCCCGTGTCTCACGGGGTCTCCTGGTCTATGCTACTCCTGTATCAGTAGCCGCCTAGCCACCCCTCTGCCCACGACTCCCTGCCCCCAGGCCCCTGGTGGCTTTGTATGTCACCCAAAGAAAATCCTAACTCTGAGTTCTGGCCCCCAAGGTTAAAGTCACATTATTATTTTTTTTTCTTTGTTAATGTCTGTTGCCTTCCCTAGGACACAAGCTTCATGTCGCAGCAGTGACGCTGCCTGTCACAGCAATGTCCCCAGGGCCTAGGCTAAGTGCAGGGGCGGGCGTGGTGGGTGGCTTATAAATATCGGGTAAATGAGTGAATGAATGGCTGATGCTGAACGTCACTGTTTATCCCCTATGAAGAAGAGGAATCTTGGGGGTGACATTTTGACGATATTGGTAGAAAATCCAAGCCTTAAGGTCAGGACTAGGGTGAGGCCAGAGAGGTGCCCACGATGTACGGTTTAAGGAGGTCTTTGCCTGATCCCGAGGGGGGGTGCCCCCTTATATTTTGTGTCCCAGGCTTTCTGCCCTCTGAGGGTCCCTGCAGCTTCGGCTGGAAGGGCCTGGGTTCGCTCACCTCCCCCTAGACTCTGCTCTGCTTAGGAGGTCTCAGTGGGACAGAGATTTCTCAGCCCCAGCACCCAGCTCCTCTGGACCAGGTCTGGTGCTGCTTATCGGATGTGACAGAAACCTGCTGTTCCCACCCGGCCACCCCCTCAGCCTGTATCAGCTCCCTGCTGTGGCGTTTCCAGGCCTGACATCTCCCACAGGGACTCCTGTCCTTGGAGACCCATCAGTTGGTCCCTTGGAATCGTACCTACTTTTCTGGGATGGCTCTAGCCTTCCGCTGCTTGTCTGCCTTCTTTCCTGTTTGCTAGGGGCCGGTGGGGGCCGGGGAGGATAAGCGGGGGTGGGGGGGAGGCTGGGCTGGGCACACTGCTTACCTTTGACCTTGGGGTATAGAGAGCAAGGCCTTCTGAGTCTCCATCCATCCTCAAGGCTTTCCACCCCGTGGGGGACACTGGAGGGGCTTCGGCTCAGCAGAGACATCTGGAAGCGGTGGGAAAGGAGGTGAAAGCCGGGGTCGGCACAACGGAGCCCCTCGCCCGAGGTCTTCAGCCAGCAGGTGGCAGTGGTAGGACCGCAGGACAGCCGGATGGAACGGCTGCAAGACAGGGTCCTGGGAAAGTCTTAGGGCCACTTGTCTGCCCCAGCCTCAACAGACGGGTTGGTTTCTCTCCACCCCAGCCTTGCTCTGCCCAAGGGCCACATCCGGTGCCCCTTATGAGCTTGGCGCACCTGACCCCACTCCCTAGTTTCAGCCAGAAGGGCCCCCATCCACTGCCAGAGCTCTCTCCACGCCCACCTGGTGCAGAAGGCTTGCGCCCTGTCCCCAGCCCTGCCGGCCAGACTCCTCACCAGCTTGCGGCTTCATCCGCAGTGCCACCAGCGCGGAGCATGGAGATCACAGTACCTACCACCCTCAATGTCCTCAATGGCTCTGACGCCCGCCTGCCCTGCACCTTCAACTCCTGCTACACGGTGAACCACAAACAGTTTTCCCTGAACTGGACCTACCAGGAGTGCAGCAACTGCTCTGAGGAGATGGTGAGTCCTGGGAAGGAGGTGGCTGGGGGTGAAAGAGGAGGCGGAGCCCTTGCGAGTGAAGCCCCCGTGTCCCACCACCTGTCCCTGCACTGGATGAGGACCCTGGTGGTCCCGGGGACGGGGTGGGGGGGCTCTGTCTGCTCCAGAGGGCTTTGGCAGAAGGCGTGTCGTGCCGCCCGGGGGTGGGGGGCCCGGGAGGGTGACAGAGACCTGGAGGTAACCGCCTCTCTTCCGGAAAGACAGGCGCATGGGGGTGGACCCCCCCCCCCCACTCTTCTCACACCTCCTCATGCATCCAGCTCCCCTCCTGCCCCTTGTCCTAGTTCCTCCAGTTCCGCATGAAGATCATCAACCTGAAGCTGGAGCGTTTCCGAGACCGCGTGGAGTTCTCGGGGAACCCCAGCAAGTACGATGTGTCGGTGACGCTGAGGAGCGTGCAGCTCGAGGACGAGGGCATCTACAACTGCTATATCATGAACCCGCCCGACCGCCACCGGGGCCACGGCAGGATCTACCTGCAGGTCCTCATGGAAGGTGAGGGGCGAGTGGGCAGAGCGGGGAGCCCGACCCAGCCGGCCGCCCTCGGGGCGCCCTTGGAGAGCCCGTGCCCTCCTGGGGCTTGTGCCGGCTGGGAGGCCTCCGCTTTTCTTCCGCTGCTCCCTGGGGACTGGGGCCGCGTCTCGGAGTGTCCTTACCACGACCTCGGTCGCGATCGTCATCCGAAAATAGCGGCTTTTTGTGCGTGGGGCCCTCGCTATGTCTCCGTGGGAGGGCTGACCTCGACGTGGGCGCTATCCCAGGTCATCCTCAAAAATGCCTCAGTGGGGGAGGCATCGTTACTGTCCCCATTTTATAGACGAGGAGACAGGCTGAGAGAAGATCGGTCAGTTACCTAAGGTCACACCATAAACGAAGGGTGCAGTTAGGACTCAGGTTTGGGTCTATTCGATCTCAAAATCCATGGTCTTAAATCCTGCGTTTCACTGTCATCCCCTGGGGCTTTTAGGTGCCCCGGGGATTTGGGGGCGGGCCCGTGGAGGTCAAGGGCCTGGGTCGATTTTGGTTTTGACCAACGTCCTTTCCATGGGGAGCCATGGGGCTCTTTCCATGGGGACCAGCCCGCACATACTGTGGGGAGCAGGGGGCGGCGGGGGAGGCCCCCTTTTCCAGCCCCGGGGCTCAGTGGGTCCGTTTCTTGTCCTCCAGAGCCCCCTGAGCGGGACTCCACGGTGGCCGTGATCGTGGGCGCCTCCGTGGGCGGCTTCCTGGCGGTGGTCATCTTGGTGCTGATGGTGGTAAAGTGCGTGAGGAGGAAAAAAGAGCAGAAACTGAGCACGGATGACCTGAAGACAGAGGAGGAGGGCAAGACAGACGGAGAGGGCAATGCGGACGACGGCACCAAGTAACGCGGCGGTCCGGCCGCCCCTCCCTCGCGTCCTGTCTTCTTCCCCCTGCCCCGCACCGTGTGCCCTGCCTGCCCTCTCTTGGTGTGCTTCTCTTGAACCAGGCTCCCAGTGCCGACCCGGGGCCCCCCGAGCCCCTCACTTCGCGTCCCCCACCCCGCACCAAGAGTGACCCACCTCTCTTTCATTCGGGGGAAACCTGCCATGGGGTGTGGGACACGTGGGCCCTGGGGGAGGGGGAAGTGGGCTCCGGACTGCCGGTCCCGGAGGGGAGGCAGGAGGCCTGTGTGAGGGTCCTGGAAAGAGAGGCGGGGAGGGTGGGCAGTGGCGGAGGGGGAGGTCAGCTGTCCAGCCTGCCCGGTTTGTGGACTGGTCCGGTGGGGCCTCGGGGAGGATCGGCGGGTGGCAGAGGGGCTTTCCTGTGCTGCCTCGAGAAAGCCTGGGCGGTGGCATCGCCGTGCTCCCCGGCTGCTCCAGGCCGGGCGGCCCGGTCAGGCTGGGGTGCCGACGGGTCCTGTCACTTGGGCGGAGGCCACGTTGAAGGGAGGACCGTGCGTTTCCCGGGCACTGAAGGCAAGCAGGGGCTGGGGGCAGGTGGAGACGAGCCCCGGCCCAGGAAACTCTGCTCTTACCCCCTCTCCGTCCAGAGCTGCTACCAGGGAAGCCTCGGGGGTTTTCTGGCAGCTGCCAATCCCTTGGGAGTTTTGGTGGGCATTGTACGGAGAGTCACTGAGCTGGGCCATGGGCGGGTTGTAGCGTCCCAGGTGGCGGTCATTTCCCACCATAGTTACCCACTAACAGGAGACAAATTTCGAAGCCGGCTAAGGTCTGAAGGGGCAGGGGCTCCATTGTGAAGTGGAGTTGGCCGCAGGCTGCCTTCTCCCACAGGCTGACCACCCTCACTCCTCCCAGGCCGGGAGCGGCCAAGGTGTGGGGCTAAGGAGGGGTGGGAGCCATGATGGGGGAGCCGATGTGCAGAGCGGGGGCTTCATTCAGGCCTTCCATTCAAACTTTCCCAGTTAGCAGGGTTTGGGCTGGCTTTTGGTAGAAAACAGGGAAGGAAATGCCCTGAGGGAAGTGTGAGGGGGCTCCTGGAGCCTCTGAGATCCTGTGGTCGCTCCCTCCCTTCCCAGCCCCAGGGACTCCCTCTGTGGGGAAGCAAGTAGCGTTTATGGAGAGCCAACTTTCACTGCCATTATACTCACATCAGGAAGGGACTGATTATTTAAGCCTCAGGAGAGGGAGCGAGACAGAGAGAAGCTGCCGACGTGGACACTACCTTGGAAGACCCTCAGAGACCAACCAGGCAAGCCACTCACAACAAATGGGGAAACTGAGGTTCAAACTGGCAGAGACCGAGGGTCCCGCCGTCTCCTCCTCTGGCTCCTCAGTCTCCAGTCTGACCCAATAGAGCCATAGTTTTCTGAGTGGGAAGAGCCTCTGTGGGCTGGTCCACGAGGGAGGTGAGGTGAGGGAGACGGGCTGTCCAGGCCTGCTGCTGTCCCAGGGCGGCAGCTTCAGGCTGTGATTGAGGCCGGCTGGAGGGGTGGCGGGATGGAGGGGTGGAGTGGGAGGGCAGAGCTGCTGGCAAGGCCCCACTCCTGCCCCCCTCCCCCCGACCCCAGGCTGACCTTCTTCAGCACTTCCCAGCCTTTCCAGGAGCTCAGAGGCCACCGAGGCGCAGGAAGTCAGTGCCCAGGGCAGGAATGAGTCTGAGGAAAGGAGGCGAGGACAGGACTGGGACAGTGTCGGGGACCATCCTCTGCCTCTCCCCATCAGATAGCCGATTTGGGGCGAGAACGATACGGGAGGTTCCGTTTAATTCATTCCAATTCAGCATCCGTTCATTGAGCATCTCCCGTGGGCCTGGCACTGTGCCGGGCCCCAGGGAGGCACACGAAGCCATAGACGAGTTGGGAACTGCAGGTCAGCCCCGTGGGGACCAAGACTAGTTTTTTGTTTTGTCTTGTTTTGTTTTTGGGGTTTCTTTGGTGCATCTAATTCCACCTGTGCAGCCACTGCTCCCAGGGCTGAAGTTGGAGAAGAAGCAAGAAAGTCCTGAATCCGGGCCCTGGGAAGGAAAGGAAGGATGGAAAGGGGGGAAAAGATACCGCAGGGAACAGGGTGGTAGACCGGGAAGAGTGGGCACAGCGTGGGGGACAGACAGCCTGAGTCAGGTGAGTCCAGCTCAGTACCTAACTGCCAATCAACACACTGCCAATGGGGGTGGGCTAAGCCACCAGGATGCCTGGGGCAGGCGGACACAGCCCATCCTTGGAGCCAACCAGCGAAGAGGGGAGCGACGGGTGGTGGGCACCCCATGCCAGCTGAGACCAAGGTGGCAACGCACTTCTGCAGCTTGCAGATTTCACTTTTCGGCAACCCCTCAAGGGCTCTCCTCTCCCAGGACCAGTGAAAGTCTGTGCCGAGGATCGGAAAAGTGGGGCAGCTTTCTTTTTCCAGGACTCCTAACATTTAGGGGAGTTTTTGCACGATTCCCTAGGTTTCCTCTAAGAAGTCCTAACTCTCCGTAAAGAAGCCCCAGACTTCCGGGTTCCTTCCTTGCAGTGCCCTGACCTAGTGGGGCCTCCGAGGCCCGAGCGGATGGAGGTGGGCCAGGAGCCACCTCTGCCCCAGGTGCCCACCCCCATGCGCCCTTTCTCCTGCAGCCGCTTAGAATCTCTTCCAGGGGCCTCCTCGAGCTGCCTCCCCCAGGGCGATGAGGTTGGGAACCAAATGGGGCTTCTGCGCGAGTAGAGGTGGGAAACCGGTGACATGTTTCCACGGCTGCTATTTCTCTCTCCTGCTTTCTAGTTTCTACCAGCAAGCTGGTCCTCTCCCTGCAAAGCCCACTTCTGGCTGCGTGTTTCCGTCACTGCGCTCTCGGCTGGGTCCAGTCTCCTGTTTTTCTCAACCGCCCCTGCCTCTCCTGTTGTCTTGGAACTCCTTGTCTGTCTCTTCCTCCTAATTAAGGGCCCCTGTAAAGAGCTGGGCTGGCCGACCCATGGGATTTAGCTTATAAGAACAAAGTACAATTTTTTCAGGACTGAAATGCCTTGAGGTGCCTTGAAACTGGCTTTGAAAATAGCTATCCGCCCCTTCGCTGGGGACTAATCACAGTGATTCCCAATTTATAAAAAGGAAAAGCTGATTAATTGGATTCGTAAGTCCCCTTGGGGAAGCCGGGCTGGGAAGTATTTACAAGGTCAGGTTAAGCAGATGGACAATTGAGAATACTGGCCAGGTCACCAAAGACAGTCCCAGGCCATGGGAATGGCGTGGTGCAGTTAGACGGAGGGATGAATCCAGAAATTTCCCTTGCTACTTGTCTTAAGGATCGACAGCCTGTGTCTCCTGCTGTGCCTCATGCTGATGTCTTCCTTTATTGAAGCTTGCTGATGCATTTGTACATAGTCTATATATAGGTATAGATATATTATATATACACAAATATACAACATCTCACTGCATCCACCCCACAAGTTATACTGGGTGTGGGGGGAGGGGAACAATCATTTCTCAATGTTTTGCGTTGATTCACCAAAGGCAAACTACAGAATGTTCTTCTTGCTCTTTGTGCACTTGGAGGAGAAAACCCAACTACTTAGGCACCTTCTAGGTTTTACGTGCCACCGGGTGGTGGGGAGGAAAACTTCAACGGTCCTCGGGGGCCCAGCTGCCGCATTTCTTTTGCAGTTTGTCTCATTGCTTGGATCTATTGGCTACAATAAACAGATCGTCTCCCTGAACATCCCTTGAGTGTGGCTTTTTTGGGGGGGTGCAGAGCAGGAGAGGCTTTGCCAGGATCCTGACGGGGCCCCCTGATGCTCCTTCCCTGGTAACCCCACTGACATCGCCGGGTCCCCAGCAAGGATGAGGTCCTTCTGCTCTGCCCATGTTGACAAATGCCTTATCTCTTTCCCCGTTTGCCTTGTCTCGGAAACCTGGGGGACTCCATCCACCCTGAAAGCACCCTGAGGACAGGGTGGCTGAACACCCACTTCTTGGGGGTGGCGCCTGGTTATTTCTGGGATGCTGACAACCATTTAAGTCCCCACCACTGTTAACACTGATGTTATTTTTTCCGTGGGTGGAGGGGCCATCCTTCCTGCCCCCTTTCTCTAACCTGTGTCTGATTAGGCAGACATTTCTTTTGCCTGCTCTGGGTTCAGGGAAAATAGATGACAGCTGGTCAGAGACTCCCCTGATGCACCTTCACGGGTGAGGATCGCTGTGGGGAAGGGTCAGGCTGTCCATGTCCCGTCTGAGTGCCGCCCTATCCTATTTACATGCAGTCGAATCTCCCTAAGTTCAGGACCAAAGACGACCCCCTGGCCCAGGAGCTCTACTGTTCCAGACACACTCAGTCTTTTTCTCTCTTGCTTCCTGTTTTTATGCCTCTGCATCTCTCTCTCTCTCTCTCTCTCTTTCACACACACACACACACACACACACACACACACACACACACACACACACATGCCCAGGGGCTTACCAGATAAGAAAAGCCTAAACTTTCTGAATGGCAAAGAAATGCTGACGTGGCTGGTTCCTACTTTTCTTCTGGTTTCTTTGTCATTTCTGTCTACTCCCTGCTGACCCGGAGGCCTTTGCCAGCGGTTAGTGGTCAGCTGCATTTTAGAATATTCCAGAAGGATCCTGATATTGGTAGTTGTAACTTTGGCAAGGATTACAGCTGCTACCTGAGAGAGAAGCCAGAAGGGAGGTGCCCGGTGTTTAACAGAACCAAAGACACCTTGCTTTAAAAGGATGTCTGTCTTCCAGAGCGCCTGGGTCCTTCCAAGGATGGGATGTCAGAGAGGGTGCTTCTCTAGTTAACAAATAGGGAAACTGAGGCAGGGGATGTGGCCCGAGGAGCAGCAGAAGGCACTGGGGATTCTGGCAGGTTCTTTCTGAGGTGGAGTCAGCATCTTCCTCATTTGGGGGCTTTTCTCCCAGAGCACTTTGGAGCTGGGCCTGCTTCCTGGGAGGGTTGGATTTGG